CGAGTTGCATAGAACCGAAGTCACATACGACTTCTTTTCTACCTCCTCGACCCGAAAATCCTACATATATCTAAATGCCAACCCCTAACCCCGACACTCAGAGTCCTATAAATGATCCTAACCCCGATTTCTGGGCCTTACGGTCCCTTCCTCACCCTAAATCTAAACCTGAGTCTTAAAACAACAGAATGCAGGCAGGATCAGTGTCCCGGCAAGTCGATATGTTTCCCCGGCCCAGGAGCTGCAGCCCCGCTTGAATTCATGATCATATGAGGTGAGATAGCAATAACAAGTTACAATAGCCCTAAACCCGATCCCTAAAGCAAACCATGGTAAGCAATGAAACTAGCCGAACAGCAGATCCCGGCCCCGACCTATGACCCCTGGAGACCCAGTATATACATGTACTATTATAATAATATATGTGTATATATATATATATATATATATATATATATATAATTGTATTAATACATAGCATGTGTACATACATATATATATATATGTATATGCGAGACAAACTAGCTAACCATAATAAGTTAAACTCTAAATATCCATTAAACATATAATTTGATGTAAATTATTATGATCTGCAGAACAACAATATGCCTCGGCCCCAGGACCTTATAGAACCTACTACCTGTATAATTATAATATAACAAACCCATTAAACCCCTATGCCCTAACTTTCTCAGCTGCAGGTTGTGGATGATGATGCAGCCGACCCCAATCTTCAGGCCATCGTCGATGGCATCAGATCCGGTGCCTATGTGGCCTCCTGGTTGCATGAGTGCTACTAAGTGTTGAACTAGAGTTTCAGTGCAAACACAGCTTATTGGCCATGGGTGTCCATTGCAGGTTCCCGCACTGCCACCAGCTATGCAATGGGATGAAGCTGATCTGGAACCTATCTGCCAGTTCCTGCAGTGGGCTGCTAGTGAAGGTGAGTTTGTTCCAAGCCCCGGCCTTTCATTCTCGACACGCCCGTTGCTGTAGCTTGCTAGCTGCTGTAAGAATTTGCCCAAGGTCTGATAGTGCTAGTTGCTAGATGTAGCATGGGCTTCCAATTCTATCCTGGGCTGGAAATGCAAACCAATATCAATCCTGTCAAAATACCTTGGTGGGCAACAGATTCAGTCAGCTGTGCTACAGGTGTTCGTGAGTGACAGCAGAGATCTGCAGTGGCAAACTCAAGTAGACACAAGTATGAGAACTGTCACCTGAATGATGAACACCAAATTCGGAATGCGGTGAATCTTCGGAGATCCTCGATCTCAGCCGATGCGCCGGTGCAAAGATGATGCCTCGACAGCACTTGGGGTATGTGGCTTCGAGATTTCAAACTGATTAGGGCTTGGGTTGTTGAGGGCACGTCTTGTTATAGCTGCTGCTGTCGCCTGTTGTTGTTGGTTCTGCTGCTGCTGCTGCTGCCCTAGTCGGTCATCGGCTTTCATTGCTGTATTATTTGTTGCTGCTGTCGTTTCTTATTATTGGTGTATGAATAGGATGGTGCATATATATGTATGTATACTTGGAGGGTCGGGGGACTTAGTAACTGGTTACTTTAATTAGGGACTTCTAAGTACCATAACCCCAATTAGGGTCCCTTTAAATGGGTGTACTTGAAATTATAAGTCTACTTACTAACTACATACTAAGTCCCCCGACCCCCCAAGTATGCAGCTATAGACTGGAGTGATGGTAGTTGGTGTTCCCGTTTAGGGTGCAACTGTATGTGGGGTGTCAGTAGAGACTATACACAAAAAAGTGCCCACGAACCCACATGCATGCCCCTGCCTGCCTATCTATTACCTACCTACCTACCTGCCTACCTGCTACCTACATGCCCTGGTACATGTACATGTTAGCATATATGTAATACCGTTAAATATATCCAGATACATGTGCTAGTGACCTGTGTTGCATGATTGTACATGCGAGTCTAAAGTATGCACCCTTGTAATATAGATGCATATGTGCATGTACATGTAGATTATATACATACAACACTAGCTATATATAATGATTTTAGTTCATGTATAATAAAGTGTGTATATATATATACACACATACAATATATCATCTTCGAACATGCTAATATTAGATATAATACTATAGCTATAGCACCATCAGAATTTATATTACCGTAGTATATACTAATTTATTACATATATATATATATATATATGTTCACTAATAAGAAGAACATATATATATATATATATATAGATAGCTATAGATAGATAGATTGATAGATAGATAGATAGATAGAACAGATAGATAATATATAAGTATAGTACATATGTATACCATGAACATATACATACATATATATATATATATAGTAATACTGCCTGATCACATTAAGTATTTATTATTGAAACGATTCTTATAACCATGACATGAATTGAACAGGACACATGTATGTATGTGTTGCAAATTAAATATATTATAATATATATTTAATTTGCAACACATACATACATGTGTCCTGTTCAATTCATTATATATATATATGCAGATCATGATCATGATTATAATAGTTATATATATATATGTACATGCATATACATATATATATATATACACACACACACCGAACTCCATTACAAGCTGCCGGGTCCGCTTCACAAAGACGCTTGGCCAAAGTTATATACAGTCCTTTAGTGGTGGCCGGGGAGTATGATCGTTTATAATTATGTAATTATATTACATGGATTATAGAGCCAGGCCAGGACGAAGCACCTCGACGTAAAGCCACACCCGTAACGTAAAACCTTCCAGGGAGACAAAATCACCACGTAAAGCCTGTTATATGAAGACTTCGCTACCCGTAGAGCCTGCTAGAGCAGAAGATCACTACGTAGAGCCATGCAGAAGGGGGTTTTGCCTTCTAGCGCAAACTATCCCTACGTAAAACCTTCTAGGGGAGTGTTTTTCTGTTAGTATCGGGGTTCAACTACAGTTTTCAGGTCGAGCTTGTGATCCAGTAGAATTTACCTAGCGTGATTCGGCGTGATTCGCCGTGATTCGGGCCCCAAAAACCATAAATAGCTAGGTTTCAGGCGTGATTCGCCGTGATTCGCCGTGATTGGCAAATTGCCCTACGCAGACCATTTTGGCTAGAACTTTTGGGGGCTGCTAGGCTTCGGCTGTGGAGGAATGGTTGCCAACTCCAAGCAATCCAAGAAGACACAGGGTCGGCCCGGCCCGTATAATCGAGCGGAGTCGTTCGCAAGTACTGGAGCTGAGTCTGCTACGTCTGCCACGTCGGCAGCAGGGGTGCTGGGCAAGGTTGATCGACGGGGCTCTTTTGCATGCTCCGAGACTGGGTCTGCATATGCAAGTTATCATGTATATAACACCGAATAGTCAATCACAGCAGCTACTTTTCCACAAGTATCATATATGCATGCTGCCCAGGAGACATCCAAAGCCAGCTCCCGCAGCCGGGCCAGTCGTGCTCCAATCGATGTGGATGATGAAGTCACGCGAGCCTTAGCCACCATTGGCATCCCACTCAAGAGCCACCCGACTTCTACAAAGGGTTCATTTTACAATTCCATGCTAACCTAAAACACATCCCGAAAACTAAATGCTGGCCTAGAATCCCAAGTGCCTGAAAGTTTAAAGCTATTCCTGAAATCAAAGCCTTCAGCTAGCCTAAAATCACAAGTGTCCTATTAAAGGAGCTGCATATATCCAAGTACATAATAATATATATATATATGTATATATAACATATATGATAAATTATTATAGTTGTGAAAATACAATAATTCATTTTACAATATAATGTATTATTATTTATAATTAATAATAAATCATCATGTGATCATGTTCATAGTATCTAGATCTACATATACTACGAACCCCTAAAGCCTAAACCCTTAAATAGATTTAGATCTCGAGCTGGATATACTACCGATCCGCGAACCCCTAAAGCCTAAGCCCTAAACTTCTGCTATGTATATGCTCCCATCCCAGGTGGTGCTACAGGACAGCAGAGGCCTGTGGAGTCTAGTGTGCCAAAGGCGAGTTGCAAGGCCCGAGGGAAGCCCAGCAAAGGTGCAGATTTAAAAAAAAGCCCTGCCGACATGTGTGAGGGCAAGGGGAAGCCAGCCACCGAGACACCAGATTCCCGAGAGAGCCCCACCGAGATGTGCAAGGGCAAGGGGAAGCCAACCACCAAGGAGCCAGATTCCCGAGAGAGCCTGACCGAGATGTGCAAGGGCACCGGGAAGCAAGCCACCAAGGAGCCAGATTCCCAAGAGCGCCTGACCGAGAAGTGTGAGGGCTCAGGGAAGCCAGCCAGTGAGATGCCAGATTCCCGAGGGAGCCTGACCGAGATGGGTGAGGGCCGAGGGAAGCCAGCCACAAAGATGCCAGATTCCCGAGAGAGCCCGACCGAGATGCCTCAGGCCAAACCACAGGTTCCGGTTTTGAAGTCACAGCCTACACGTTCCATCTTTGATGCCGTATCTGTGTCATCCGTGCACACAAGTCCCGACCATGTGGGTCTCAGCCAATCCAGTGGCACCCAGCTCACCGACACCTGCCCAGACAGTCAAGTTGTGACAAGTCCACCTCGGTATGTGAAGCGACAGAAAGTGTCTGGTCCCGATGATGCTGTGCTCGAGGGTAACTTGCTTATACTGAACCGTTTTGGCATTCTTTTGTAATTGTATTGATTGTATACTAATGAAATAAGATACTAATAAATACGAACTCATGAAGATCATAGTTATATACAATCAATATATATATATATATATATAGATATTAATAATAATTATATTGTCTAATATATTTGGAATACTACTACTATGTGGGTATGTTTGTTTCTAATAATTTGTATAGTACCCTAAGCCCCGAAATCATAACTTCAAAAGTTAGTTTTAACTCTAAATTGAAAGCCCTGAAACCTGAATGCGAAACCTCCATAGACCCTAATCCTGCATTGAGGTGAAACAGCCCCCACTATGCATGCCCTCGACTCCATGACGACATTGACATGGTCAGCGACAGCGTCGCCAGACCGTGCAAAGGATGTGCTGAGCATCGCTTCGTTCATGACCAGTGCCAATGTTGAGGTTATGAAAGGTTTCCTCTTCGATGAACCAGAAGAGTCTGGTCAAATCTACAGTTTGGGCTTGAAAGGTTTGAGGGAATGGCTACTCTATGACTTCCCGAATGAAGCTGTGGACGATGTGGTTGACCCAAACACAAAGCCGGTCGTGAAGGAAACAATCCTATGCACGAGGACCTCAGTGGATCAGGCATTGTCTCTGTTGTCGGAAGCACAGCATCTGCGCAGTGAGCTGTTCATGTCTTTGGCAAAGGCTGCTTCGACGGCACAATACATGATCGACGGCATCAGAAAAAGCTACGGGACGACGGACCTGCTTGCCAACCGAAAGGTGGCACTGACGGAGAAGTGGCTGGAAGATGAAAAAAAAAGGATCCGACATGATGCTGACGAGAAGGATAATACAGCCCAGGTGGCGGTGCATGCCGCTTCGGAGCACGTCCTTGCAATGTTCCGAAAGGTGCCTGAGTCGGCATGGGGTCCTATGATGTGTGAAAAGCTGGGCCAGTGGACCGAGCTTGAAGCTACGCAGATTGAAGCTATCAAGGTTGTGCAGGCCAGGGTGAATGCAGGCTTGGCTCCGAATCTAGAGGCGCCGCAGGATTTGAAGCAACGTGTTCTGGGATCTGCAACACCGCAGAAAGGCGAATCTGCAAGAGCTGTTCATGAACTGGAGGCCGGGTATCATGACCATACGAGGGTTTCGAGGGATATAGAAATTGGATCATGATATCATTAAGTTTAGGGTAGTGGTGCCTGGAGATAGCGATTAGTGTTCTTGAGGGTCAATTGTGAGGGCAATTTCCACTGTCCTTGTAGAGCCGATGATGGGGAGCTAGTTGAAGTTTGTGCTTTCGGATGTGTATCTATAATCATAAGTCATTAATTATGTTCATAATAATGAGCGCTAGCAGTACTCATAAAACCCCGACCCTAAATCCTCAACTCTAGGTCTATGTAGTTGTAAAAATAATATATATATATATATATATATATATATATATATCTATTATGTGGGTGATAACAAATTCTAGAAAAAAAACCCTACGGCTTGACTTCGTGCACACACCCTCGACTCCTATGCTACTTCGATCTGTCAGGATGCTGCAGCTGGGCAACCAGCTGAGATGCAGCAGCTTGTGCTATGCTCCCCGGATCCCGCCCTCCCGATTCCAGCCGAGGCTGTGTGGTGTCTGCAACTTCGGTTCCCTCAACAAATAAACACCCCTAGCTATATGTGATACATACATTATAAACCATAAACTATTTCTAAATTCGAAACCTAATCAGTAATGTAATGCTGTAATGCTTAACCCTAAACCCTTATGTGCTGGTAGGCGCCCAATGATGTGCTTGGCCGTGGAATCAGCTCGGATCGGCAGCCAGATGTCGATGTGCCTTGGATGGTTGCAAGTCTGGGGCCTGGTGTGGTTTAAGGGTTTATGATGATGCAAGGTTATTCTTGATTGTATCTTTATGTTTTGTGTTCCATGATGAGCATCTACCAATCTTCGAACATGAGGCCTTCGATGAGGCGGCTTTCCATGCCGAGCTGTGTGAAATGATGAAATCTCCACTACCGACCAATGCTCAGGCTCGTTAGTCGCATGTGATCATGATCATGAATAATTAAACCAAGCTTTAAGTGTATGACGCCCGTTTTAAAACCAGATAATCAGGTGGAATCCAAGCCGGCAGAGACGGGTGGGAAGACTTCTGGTGATGGCCTCAGCACCGGAGCATCTGGCGATCCCGATATCAAGACTTCTGGTGATGGCATCAGCATCAAAGCATCTCGCAGTCCCGGTATCAAGACTTCTGGTGATGGCTTCAGCATCGCAGCATCTCGCAATCCCGGTATCAAGACCCCTGGTGCATCTCGCAATCCCGATATCAAGACTTCTGGTGATGGCATCAGCATCGCAGCATCTGGCAATCCCGGTATCAAGACTTCTGGTGATGGCGTCAGCATCGCAGCATCTCAGAATCCCGGTATGAAGTCTTCTGGTGACGGTATCCCAGATGTCAAGACTGGTGGAAGCATCCCTACCCAGGTGCTGCTTGATCATGATCTCATGAGTTGGGTTTTCCTCCAGTATATTATATTAATCCAATCGTTGATGCATTTGAGGTGCCCAAGTCCGCGATCGGCTCTATGGTGAGTGCCCTGAACCGCAGGGACACCGCTGAGCTCTTGCAGGACTAGTAAACAACCCCAACCCTTAAAGTCCTAAACTCCTGAAGCCTCAACCCCAAAGCCCAAATAACCACAACATTAAACCCCCAAACCCTAAACCTTAAAACCACAACCTTTAATATCCCTGAGATTATTCGAGTGCTCGACTTATGGTTAGTTTAATTTAGCTTTAAATATCTGACAGGACGGAAACATGCAAAGCCAGCAGGAGGCAGATGAGGCTACACTTGCGTTGGCTGAAGCAGAGGCTGAAAGAGAACGGCTGGCTATCAAGGCTTCCAAGGCAAGGATGGAGAGGTCCTTCAGGAGTGACGAGTCTGAGGATAACGACTTGATTGCTGTGGCTTATTGTAAGTGTTTATCTAGTCTATGAATACCAAGCGATACAAGGTCCGAATTGCCCACAAGCTGTTCTTGATGCTGCTGCCAACCGCTATCGCAGTGACTCGGCCTATTCTTGGAAATCCTTAACCCTTCAATCCATATTATAAATGTATATCCCTAACCCTGAACATATATACATAAACCCTATATCCGCCTAAATCCCTACAAACTGCTGCTAAGACCGTGATATCTTGGATGCTCTCTATGATGAGTGGGTCAAGTCTGGGGAAAAGTGGCTCGAATCTACGATCTACCTGGAGGCGAAGCGGAAGGAAACCACGCAATACAAGGGACAGGAGCGCTACATCTCCAAAAAGACTATCCGGGAAAAGCACGGCAAGTTGCAAGCGGAAAACTTGGTCAAAGAGAAGAAAATGCTGCAAGAGCAGCATGGAAACAAGTACGATAATATGCCCCATTGGATGGAGCATCCAGATTTCAGGGGAGTGGAGGACGGGTCACTGCAGTGCTCCAGGTAAGGCTTCGGGTGAATAATTGTGATCAGCTATACTGTTGCAGGATGAAGAGCTTTTCTTGATCTTCGACGACTTTGTGATTGAGAACAAGGCAAAGGACACAAAGGCGACGACGTTTGGCACCGGGGCAAACCTGGATGGGGCCATGACTGGCCAGATTATGTCCCCTGATCCTATGTATCGCACTGATGTGTCTTTTCCGTCACTATTTATACTAACAACCCTGATCTTAAACTTAATTATATATACATAATAATAATAACCTGATCCCTAGGACAGTAGACTCGAGCCCTCAAGAGCAAGACCTGTAGAACTCTATCATGATATTGAACCGAAGAACCCTAAACCGGGACCAACAGACCCTAAATAATCTGAAGTCTTATCGCTGAGGCCTGCCATTATGCAGTCGGGGGCACTCCGCACCGGCTTGACGGCCCCTCCAGTGGCGCTCAACCTGAGTGGGACAGTCAATCAACCGTATGGGCAGGGCTCGAGCAATCCTGCTTCTAAAGGTGGGCAGAAAGGTGGTGGCAAAGGGCATAGTCGATCCAACCGAAGTCATCATGCGGCCTCGCCGAAGCGGGGTGTGTCAAAGGCTACACCTCTGACGCAGGCCACTGCCAAGTTACGCGATGCTTCATCTAAACTCATAGATGCAAAATGCTGGACCTCTATCATCGAGGAGAAGACTGAGATCTCCCAGGCTATGAAAGATGGCTATGCGACAGATATGAAGAAGCACCGTGAGTTGATGCAGGATGCAAGCGAAAAGCTCCAGCATGCTACCTTGACAGGACCGAAGGATGGTGATACGCTAAGTCCTTTGACTGAGATCTTGGATAAAGCAGTGGAGGGCTACAATGCCTTCGTCAAGACAGTCAAAGTTGTCTTTGCTCTTTGGTATTTTATTGTAGACTGTTGATTTCGTTGAATTCTTGTATATAATTATAATAGATTTTTTTCACAGGGTAGGGGGTTAGTGTCTTTGGTTCTAGGTTTACCCTAAGCCCTGAACCATAACCAGCTAGTGTGACTAGCTACTGGCACTGGGTCGTGTTTCGGGCATCTGAGGGTGATGAGAAAGCAGCTACCAAAAAGAAGGCTAATAAGAAGTGATATCCGATGATGGCCATCGGTGATCATGATCTGGATTCGGTGAGTGTGGCTGCCAGACCTAGAGCTGGCTTTTCATGCACTCTGTTTTTGTTGCTAGAGCTGGGCAACAGAGCTTCGAACCCCGTACACGATTAAGTGCTGTACTGATATTATAACGGCCTACTGCCTAGTTATAATATATAGGGGGCTAGGACCGGAGCTATACTATAGGTTTGCACAGCCTGCCACATGCGGCGCTGCATGTGCTGTTCCTACGTACACTAGCTGGGCGTGTGATGTCCATGATCCTAGCACTCTCTCGCTGGGCCCCGGGTGAAAAGTGAATCATTGTATGCGTGCCCTTTGAAAGTTCACCACTGGTGCTAATATTATATGTAGCAGTCCCAGTCACAATTCCCCACACGCAGGTCGACCATCCAATTTGGCGGAGAACCTGATCACCATGGTATCGAAGGGGGACCGGTCGGTGTATTTTAGGATTTTTAACTGGCCTCGGTGATAGTTTGGACTTTAGGGTTTAAGGTTTATCATGATCAGGTTTGGGGCTTCGAGGGGAAACACGGGTCACCCTGCAGGATATCAGCTTTACTTCTGCACGTCTATGTGCCGACGATGCTTGCAAGGACCTCGATGCCAACAAGCCCACAACCCTAAGCCCCTAAGCCCTAGACCCTGAACCCAAAGACATGATCGTGATCACAGGATATGGAAAAATGTGGTATGGCCCCTCCTGAAAAGCTGCAGAAGCTGGCTGCAGCTGGAGCAGCCGGTGTCCGCTCGTCAAACATCGAACGCGATATTCTTCGACAGTTGAGTGCCAAGGCTCACCCACTAGAATGCCCCTTATAATAACCCAAACCCTAAATCCGCTACCCTATGCTAACTTCAAAGCCTAAATAATTAAAACACGATACACCGGATTTTGAAAGCCATAACAAGCCCCAAACCGGGAACCCTAAACCCGAAAGCACCAGAACAAATAATCCGGACATGTATGAAGGTCCCCATCCGCTATGTCCGAGTTCCCATCACTGAAATGATCGAGGGAGACGAGGTTGTGATCAAAAGGACTGCAATTGATCAGGAGTTTGCTTTAACATTCCGAAACCAACCAACAGCATGCCGAGGAGCTTCCCAGTGATATTGCCTCATGAGCTGATACCTTGGCTGCTCGATGGTCTATCAACAAAAGATCTCCACGAGACGATTGGATCACCACAGAAGGTTTTGGAGTTCTGGGATAACGTGGAGGAGACTGGTATGCCTTGGCACCCCGGGCTGCACAACAGAGACGAGCTTGACAAGGTTATCCCTGTTGGCTTACACGGGGATGATTTCAGATTCACGAATGGTGGCCAGAAGCTAACTGCTGTCAGCCTCAACTTCATACTTGGCGAGCGCCGTGGAAGGTATGTCTTATTTGTGATACGCCATGTGCCGTGTCTGCAGCAACCCGAAATCCTAAAGCGCAAAACCCCGAAATTCAACATGTGCGTCGGTCATGAGGCACTGAGCACTGGTTTCGAAACGCTTCAGGCCTTTCTCCGCCCCGAAGCTTGGCTAAAACTTGGATCTCGGGTCACTAGTTAAACCCAGGGGATACAAAATTTGAACCTTATTAAATCCTAAGCCCTAAATATATGAAGATTTTGAAACTAAGATTGTTCTCTCGCTGAACTTTTGCTTTTACGGCTTGCGACCACCTGCTGATGACCTGGATATCGATGGATCTTATGATGTGTCCCAGAAGCTACGTGAGTCGATCGGGTCACAATTGCTGTCTGGCAACAACAGGCATCCAATATTTCAGGTTGCACCGGGTACTGATCTTCGGTTTGCTACCACAGAGTTTCGCGGCGATTGGTTGTGGCACAAAGATGTACTGGGGCTGACATCTGGCTGGTCGTCACAAAACCTGTGTCATCATTGTATGGCCAAAAAGACTGATTTCCTCAAGGCACCCTACTTGAAGCAGCGGCGTGATGCTACCAGCTTTGCAAGCCTTTGCAAAAGTGGTGAGGATGGAGAGAAAAGTAGGAATTGAATAATACCAGCACTTACTTTTCATAACGTTGATCTTTCTTTTAAACCCTGTAGCTGGATTGGGTTAGGGTTAGGGGGGTGGGTCCCGAGGCATGATCCTGCGGATCATCAATTTCAATCCCAATATGGTCCGGTGGTGCACTTTACACACACTCAATCTTGGCATTGGGCAGTGGGTATCGGCATCGGTCTTCTACGAGATGCTGAAACTGCCGGTGGGACTTCCGACCCTAAACCGGCTAGCGCTAAACCCCAAGTGATCCCTGACAGGACCTATGGCAACCTCCAGATAGACAAGCGAACCTGAATGCCCGCCTACAGTATGCATATAACGACTTTGTCCACTGGTGCAAGGCCAATCGGATCCCGAATCTCAGCTTGAAAGTACACCACTACTGGCCCTTAAAATAGCATCTATAAGAAGCTACGGTTAGGAGGATCAGGGTTTAGGGCCGAGAGTGAGAGAACTGTTCCCATTTCAGGCACAGTCAGGCTCCATTCTGCTCCAAGCTATTGCGCAATGCAGTCACTGGCTACCCGGAGTTTGCTGCAAAGGGCCACAACGATCCTTGCTTAGCATTTGGATTTCAAGCTGGGGTATTTTAGTCGATTCTGGATTCCGGCCGGGTGGCTTGCTCTCAGGTGCGGGTCATCATCGCATGGCAAGCCGCCAAAAGCGCAGAGCTCCGGAATGAAGTGCAGCCGCATGCTGCTGCTGAGAGATCTACTTGGGTATATCGTTGTGTGTTGCCTAGCTGCATGTGCCAACAATAATAAGGTATGTGCACATGTGTCTGGTGCATGACTACATGCCCTGAGTATGTGTGGCATGTGTATATATGCATGTGTGCCTATATAGATGTCGAGGACGTGGCTGGCAGAGATCTTCAATTTCCTGGAGGACCACGGCCGATACATATCGGAGGAGCAGGCAAACGATTTCCGCCAGAAGATTGTTGCTTTACTGCATATATTTACCCTTTAAATGTGCACTGATGCCGGAAGCTGCACCCCGAACCCCGAAGATCAATCATATTGAGGACCACTTCCACTATGCCTATGTCCTTTTGGCAAAGTTGGCTGGGGAATGCAATGAGCGACTCTGGCCGCTGAAGCCCAAACACCACGTGTCTTGGCTATCGTACTGTAAAACCATACATGGGCAACATTGGTAAATCAATTGTGCCTGCCATCGACTTTCAACCTCTGAATATGCAAGGGGCTCTTGGAGATTGGCTATATGGCCGGACTCACCCGCAGCCAGGTTGCATCAAATTGTCTGTGGCCATGGTGTGTGTGTGTGTGATGGTAGCTTCCTACGTACTGTACTTGTGAATACATACATCAGGCACAAATCCGCGGTATTGGCACACCTACCTCGACGAAGACTACATGGGGCATCTAAAGGGTAGCTTGCCTGATACCGGATCCCGTCAAGCATGTTCGATTCAGCCTAATTTAAAGGCGATTTGGATTTAGATGTTTCGCCTGAGGACTTGCTCAGAGATGCCATCGTGCAACGGTGGAGAAGGCTATTCTTCTGCGGTTTTATGCCACGCCACTCGGTTCGATTAGCCCGGTATAGTACTGGAGCTGTTAATAACCCATCCGTTTGAGCATCCAAGGATGGTTGACCAAGCATCATGAGCAGCAGCTGGTATGGATATCCGGAAATACTAATTTGTAATTCGCGCTAGCTTGAGATGACAGGTGGCTGTGCCTTTGCAGAAACAGGCCGATCGCAGTGCTCGGCAGCCCAAGGCAGGTGCTTATATTACATATTTACAGCCCCTACGAAACCTCATAGGGACCATATGTTAACAGGACAAATGATTTAAAGTTACTCTTCATGGTCTTATAACTCGATCTTTCTGCAGATGTGGATCCTCCTATCTAATTCCACACCCAGATGATATCTAGGACCCTCTGGGTTATGCTATGATTGAAACCGGGACTATAAGGGAATAGCAATCGTCAACAATGTAAACGCATATCCTAAACCCGAAACCCAGAACCCTAACACCTAGACCCCGCAAACCCTAATCTCGAAACCTAGCCCCCAAACCCTTTAAGGAACCTTTGCTTCAATGCAATCTTATGGGGACTTAGTAAGTAGATGACCCCAAATACTGTCCTACTTACTTGCCGTAAGTATCTCCACAGGGCTCCTCCTCACTTACTTAAGTAGCTCCATAGGACTGTTTTGAAGGCCCCTTTAAGGGGATCCTTTCAAGATGCCCAAAAAGGCCTCAATTGTAGGTCCGGGCGGCAGCTCTTCCGCGTTGAGCCTCCCCTGAGCTGCCGTGCACTGAGCTGCAGAGAGACCTTCGTTCATCGGCATAGGGGGTTTTGGGTTTAGGGGCTTGAGGGCTTGGCGGTTTAGGATGAAGGGGTGAGGGTTTAGGGGGGGGGATAAGGGCTTCGGTGGTCTAGTGCATGCTTTCATGAGGGGTTCTATCAACCGGGTTTTGTATTATGAGTGAACATTCCAGAAAGGTTCTGTGGGGGCATAGGAGTTTCGGGTTGCGGCATAGTTTAGGCTTTGTTGCTTTGTAGGGGTTGGTCTAAGTGATGAATAATGAAAGGCGTTTCTAGACCCTAAGCCGCAAAACCTCAAAAGTGTAGGAGCTGAGTAGAGTTTTAATATTGACGGCCTAAACTACTAGGTTCCTCAGTAGCCCTGTACACAAAATATAAAACCACCCCTTTTCCTGATCTTCAGCTTTCAATAAGGAGACCCCAACCTAAAAGGCAAAAGGGTAC